CTGGCTGCACACAGTTATTCAAAATTTTGAAGCTTTGGGTCATGTTGAGCATAGTGTGCTCTAAAATGCAGATTTTGGTATGTGCAAATAATGATGAGTTGGTTTGTCTATGTCCTCATAGACTGGATTTTAATTACAAGTGCAGAATATAAAATAGATTAGCTAGTGTTGAGTGGTACAAGGTTTATCATCACACAGAAATACTCCTTTTATACAGACCTCCTGCATTCCTCACTTTCTGTAAGATGTTTATGTAAACTGTGATTTTGAGAAAAGTTTTCATTTAGGTTTGGAGTTTTAACCTAAAATATGAGTTCAAGGTGAAGTCTAATGGAAGTAGGAAGAATGAGCTACAAATCTAAGAGTAAGAAAACAAATATCCTGGCTGCTACCTGAAAATTTAGAATATACAGAGCTCTGGCATCTTTAGTCTTTTGTCTATTATTTAATACCTTTCTAATAATGAGTAGAATGGGGTGGGAAAGGAATCTCTACTTACACAGATACTGGGTAGATGATTTATAGTACTCTAAAAAATTAAATTCTAACTTTAAATTCACCTCAGTGAAGATTATTGCAAAGTGAACGTGAATTGTGCTATTGATATCAGCAATGTTCGGGTAACTTTTCTGAGTGCTAATGCTAAGGTGAGATAAGCCCACAGCATTTACAAAACCCCACTAATTAAAATGCCAGTATTTTAAAATCCTTTTTCTTTATCACAAAGGAATTTTTTTTTTATTTTTTCTTTTTCTGTAATATACACGTTTGTGTGTTACATGGTTACCTTGCCCCAGGCAATTTCAGCATCCAAATTGCTGGGCATCCCCTGTGCCGCGGATCTCTTTGTCAGTTCTGCGTCTGTTGCTGCCAACCACTCTGTCAGAGAATTAATCTCCTTCCGCAGTTTCCGGGACAGTTTCAAGCATTTCTCTAACTCTTGCTTTTTTTCTGTCACCTGCAGAAAGAAAGATTCTGGTTACTAAGCCTTCAGTGAAAACAGGCCCCTTGATGTTTTATGTAACATTTTCTTCAGGCCACTTTTCTACAAAAACTAAACTTGTGATTCCACAGGTGAAGTTKCACTTCTAATTCACTTGTTTCTTGATTTGTTCTCTCAGTATCAGTGATTTTGCTGCTATAATGCAAACACCCACAAGAAAATTATGTGCATAAAGACCCATTGAGTTTGAGCTAGCAGCCAACCTCTGAAAACTTCCTCCTCTGTTTTGAAGCTACCCATTGAGTTTGAGCTATCAGCCAACCTCTGAAAACCTCCTCCTCTGTTTTGAAGCTGTGCACAGTAAATTAATTTGGAACAATTGAATAAACAGGCTTTCCTCGAGGAGCAAACCAGATGTCAAAACCCTTCAAAGAGTATATTTTAGTGTAGGAAGCCATACAAGGACAGAGATTCCTCAAGGTTTTTTTTCCATATAGCTAAGCTACCTGGAAGAAAAAGTCAAAGAAACTCTAAAATCCTGAAACATAAAAAGTTACTGAATAATGTCAAAATAAGGCAGTTAACTTCAAGGTTKTAGTTTTCTGAATGTTTTGGATGTGAAGTGCTAGGGATGACCCCTGATTTAGCTGTAGCTCTTTTAAACTTATCACATGGTACCTGGAAGGAAGGCTGAGTATTTATATTGTCTTGACTGTATTACACTGCATTTTGAAAGAACAGGGCAAACAAAATCTTTCCTGCAAGCTCCCGAGACTCTTCAGGAAGAAAAAGAAAAGGTTTTACTTAATTAGTAGGGAAAGGAAAATAGTAAATTAAGACATCTTAGATGGGAAACTACACAATAGACATTAGGCAAATAGTAGCAGAAAATACAAATTAATAACTCATGATGAAGTTCGAAAAAACCCAATCAGAGAAGAAGGGTTAAAAGTGTCCCATACATCACCAATATTTAAAAGAAATTACTAATTAGCTTGAATGTCAAATAGTAACCTAGTAAGACTCTAGCCACTGATTTGCATTTAAGTATTTTGAAATAGAAAAAAAAATCTTCAGTGGTAGAAAACTGGTATCAGCATCTACTAAAACTACTTTGGACTTTGCCACTGAGAACAAGTAGAGGCACAATGATCAAATTGATTTGTAGATCGACTGCCAAGGAGAATTTGAGGTTTTAAAATGTAATAGGATGTTACAAGGTTAGGTACATGGCTRTTGCTATCCCTGAGCAAGGAGATGAGATTTGCCTAGGGAATAAGCAATAAAGTGTTCCTGATAATTTATTATCACTAGGTAGAGGGTTGCTATTGAAATCTCAGAAAATTTTTCCTTCACTGAATATGCTTTATGTTTTTTCTTGCATGCCAAATTTATTAAAYGAGACCACAGAACTTACAGTCAGGCCAAGAGGTAAATCCCTGGGAAGAACCATAAAATTCAGCTTTTTAGAGCTCCAATAACACATGCAGCCAGGTTTTTCACCTCTTCTGAAGAGTGTGAAAACAATTGTAAATAACATCACTTAGCAGCAACACAAGGCAAAGTGCACTACCCTGAGCCTGATTGCCTGTRTAAGAATTTTAAACACCTTGTGTATTATAAAATAAAGTTCCTGAAACTTGTCAAAACAGGGACAGAATGTATTGCTATATACATCTCTAAAATATTTTTATTATATAAATAATACAACATTCCCATTTACATTGTATATATCCAGAGGTTGCTGATTAATCAGTGCTAGCACTTAAAATGTAAAGATGTRTTTTCTACCAAAAAAATAGGAAACAGTGCCCTCTAAAGGCCTTCTGGGTCAGAAAATATGATCAGGAGTTATTTTGTATATGAGGGGCCTCTTGAAAGAGGCCTATGAAACCACACAAGTGAATCTATGCTTGAAGATTTGTTTTTCCCTCAGACTGTACATTTGARTGCTGACACTTACTATTAATTATAACTACTACTATTTTTCCCTTAAAAAGACTTTGTCTCAATGAAATCAATTAGTGCTGATAATGGCTATCCAATTTATTTCTACATATCTGGGCTTCTGTGACTTTCTCTTAAACTGTTAATTACCATGCTGTGTAAAAGTAAATGTGAGAAATTACATCTAGGGCAACAGAGCTAGGCACAGCACTGCAAATTTTTGAGACACATTAATTTGCAATATGGCTCACTTCAAGYCAGTAATGGCTCCCTAATGGCACATTTTTATCCCTTCATTAGTTAAGAGAGGTTTCYTACAATAATGGCACCTGGTTGCTGTGAAGTTAAACATAATGCAGGAATAAATGCCACAGTTCTTTCCAAAATAATGGAGAGCCAAACACTATCCAATCCCAAATGGCAGCTATCCACATCTAATGAAGCAGACCCCAGTTTTCTTGACACTCAAAAGACTGATGTCTCTTAATACCTTTRCTTTCTAGGAAGAAAGAACTGCTTAATTCAAATTCCCTAATGGGTATTATCTCTGTCAAAAGTAACATAATTCTTATTGTTTTATCATCCTGTAGTCACCAGGGCTTGATTCTCATTATTTGTTAAAACMACAGACTCTCAGTATTACCCTGGGCTCATTTTCCTAGCTATTAAGAATTTATGATTTGAATAATTTATAATTWAAAAAATTAAGAGTTTGCTTCCTGTCCTGTTTTGTACATTTAATGTGTATAAATTTTAGAAATAAACAGACAGGTACTATGTGTCATTCCCAATTTTCAGTCATCCAGTCAYAGCACAAATTCACTCTAATCCTACAGTTTTTAGAAGTTGTTTGGATAGTTCTGATGAGGGCAAGAGGAAGAAAAATGAGTAATGAAGGATGGTTGTTAACTGAATTACTTAAATGAAGTCTTTAGGACAATGCCACAACTCCTCTTCTGAGCCTTGTTAATATTGTTTAGCAGCCTGTCCATCCTACTCTGTTTGGTTGAGTTTTAGGAAAAAAATCTGAATCCTAAAAACAAATGAGCGAGAAAAAAATTACAATGCTAAGAAAGCAAAATTTTAAATTGCAAGAAATGAATTTTTTATTTTCCTGCATGGTTGTTTTTTCCTCAGAGTGATTGAATAGCCATGCTGATGATTGCCTTTGCCTCCTTTGCTTCTGTCCCACTGGGAGAACCTTGAAAGGGACTCTTAGAAATCCCATGTACTTATCACACCAAGATTATTTTTCACTTTACTAGTTAAAAAGAGCACTTTTTAGTTTTGTTTTAAAAACACAGAGCTTACCTTTGCACCCAGTTCATTATACTGCARTTTTAGAGCTGTAAGCCTCTCATCCAGTTCCTTTGGGTTCTCTGTTTGCTGCTTCTGAACAATCTGCCTCCCAGTTTTTATCACTGTTTCCACTTCAGACTTCACCTCACTCAGGTTTTTGTATAATTTCTAATCAAATAGAAATATAAAAGTGAAACACCACCATTAAAAGATGGAAATTAGAAAAGACCACTGAAGATATTCAGAATCCAAATGAAAAAACTCAGAACAGCCCCATCTTTACAGACAGTGACCTCAAAGACATGTCACAAAAAACAGTGTTAGAAATATTATACATAAGAAAGTACACACCATTGCTAATTATTTTAGGCTGTGATAAAGGCTGTTTCCAAACTGACTTAGATAATGCAGAATTTAAAACAGCAAATGTCTTCTGCCAACTCACACAGAATGTTGGATGTATTTGAACTACAAATAGACACTAATTTTAAAATTGGTCATTTTTTTCATACTGCTAAATCTGGAGAYTGGAAGGCTAGAGGATAACATTTAGTGTTATAATGTAAACAAATTTAATTACTTTAAAGACCTACATGAAAAAGTAACAAARTGGGGTTAACCTAAAATATACAATTAACTGTATTTTCCTTCACTGTTTCAATTAATAAGMACAAAATAAGAGGGAAAGGCTGCTCAGTAAGTGATGGTGTACATATAATCTGTAAACAATATGTTTTCTATACATTTCAAATGAGTGATACTAAGAAAAACAAAAGGCTACTTTTTTCCCATATGGAGAAATTTAGAATCATTATCTAAATGTATAACTTGGCAACTCAAGTCATTTAACAGCCACACAAATCTTCAAATAACATTCATGAAAATAATGCAGAAGTTGAATTYATTAATCTTTTTAATCTAAAAATAAATTCTGCCATAGCTTGAAAATGCCACTAAAGCCCAGTGTGAAAACAGACCACACAGAGATAAACATTCTCCATTAATACACAGGTATGTGAAGACTTGCAAATATGATTCTGTTGAGAAGCTTTAGTGTTGTGCTGTTTAGCTTAAGGCTGTGTTCCAGCATTTTGCCATCATGTGTTAGMAAATAAACTTACTGTCTTGTATACTTAGAAAAAAACTGCAAAATAAATTACACTGTACTTTTTGAATTGGTATTTTTTTTTTTAACTTTTCTTTTAGGAGCAGTATCTCCWGCAATGTAACATCTGTGTCTGGACAATAAAGACAAGACATTTTTGAAGCAGAACTGACAACAACAGCAACAACAGCTTGAATTTTCTCCATAATCTAAAGTTAGCTAACGAGACAATTCTTTACATGGTTACTATTTTATTTACTTAAAGGTAGCATATACAGGGTTCAACTGCTTTCTAGTACTTAATATGATATTACATTCTTCATTACTGAAAATCTGTCAACAAATTAAAGAAGCTTTTGGATGATGCATGTTGTCTAAATTCTGATGATATACTACAACTAGATTTTTTAAAAGGATCACTATGAGAATCCTTGTAGTTAAAAATTCTCTAAATTTTTAGAGAAAAAATTCTCTAATTTTTTACTCACTGTAAGTCTTCCACAAAATGCACCAGGGCTGAAAAAGCCAGCTGCCAAGTGAAGACACTTTAATTCAGTACAGAGTTTCTAATTAATGCGCCATTCTAATAAGAAAATGAATTTAAGAGCAATTTCATTTAAGAAAAACCCAAGATGTAAAGCAGTGACAATGACTTGTCCCCATGCTTTTTTAAAAATTTAAATTCTTTCTACATTTACATCTGAAAGAGTTTGGGAGGGAAAGATCTTCAGGCTTGTCATTGTCTGAGGATAAAAAAAAAAACAAAACAACAAAACCACAAAAGCACCAAAACAAGAAAGAAACCAAGAAACAAAAATACAGCTGAACAAAAAAAAAAATGAGAAACCAGCTGACTTTTGCTGTTTCAATCTCCATTTTATTATAATCAAGAACACAGCATTTAGCTTGACTTCCCTTCAAGAGTAAAGGGGAATTATAAAGGATTATAGTCATATTAAAGGGATATGTACAGATGTTCCTCATATTCTTTAGGACATATTCAGGTCATCTTTTGCTGTTGAACTAAAAGAAAGTCATAGCATGCCATCTCATGGAAGTTTTAATCTATGGTTTGAAATTCTGTGTTGTGTTTCCTGGCTAGAATAGACTGGTGCCCTGTTAACACCCCTTTTGCTTACATCACAGAGTTCCATGACTATAGAATATTGTGGAAAACAGAGCCAATCCAGGGAGGGAAATTCATATGCAAGACAGGAAGTGGGAATTAGAAAGGGATCCTAACTGATACTCTCACACACTGAAAGGGCATAGCTATAGTTTTTAAGGAGGCATTCGTTGTTTTTTCTGGGGTTTTTGTTTGTTTG